ATCGTTTGGGAGACTTTATTTGTCTCACAGCAGACAGTCCTCACTGAACAGCACAGAAGCAGATTTCTCCTCATACACATATCAAAAAAGATTGAAGTTCCTTAAAGTCTAAGGCTTTTGCATGCTCTTACCTGCAGTTACATAGTAACTATGCACTACTGGGATGAGATGTCCTGTTCTATTGAAAATACTTGTCTTTGGTTACTGAAGATGGGTACACTGAAAGATTAGACTTTCTGTCATGACTTAGATAGGTAAGGCTGAAACATATCAGAAAATATAAATGCACTATGCTTTTGTCATTGCACACACTATATCTGTCAGTCAAGTTCTGATGAATCACAGCAGAATCACACCCCTCAAACCAACTATTTAGTGTGTACAGGAGTTCAGCCATAGGTGTAAGGTGCATCTCTCAGAGCTAGTACAGCAGCAAGCTAAATTTGCCTGCAATCCACGTTCGTCACACATCAAGTTCTTTTCCCAGCTGAGCTCATCAACAGCCAAACAAGTGAGCACCCATGTCCTCGATGTTTCATTTGAGACTCAGCTTAAGAATCTGACAGGCAAAATGTAGATGTATGCTCCAGACGGTGAAATGTAAAAATGTAAATGTAAAGATTCAGTAAGTCAGCTTTATAGCTGACTTCTCAGCATTCTTTAGGAAGCTATCCTGAGCTAGATGTATTTTAATGTTTCTCTCTTGCTACTGCATGATTTTCTTTTCTTAATGACCTGTGCAAACTTCCAATTATGTAGTATCACTTTTTCCAAACACGCAAGCAAAACAATCTTCCACCTATACTTATACTAAAGTTTAAAGTTATAAACGAGGTCACCAAAACTAGGTATAAGTGCTCTTTTAATGATGGTGGTAAGAAGCAGGTAATTGGCTTTAGGAAATTAATTATCTGAAAGAAAAGATTCTTCTAAGACATAAATACACTAAGAAGCATCTCAGAGTCTGAATTAAGCAGACAGGGAAGATTCATAAGTCTCATTAAGAGAAGCATCACAGAAATAAGCACCAGACAGCCATAAAAGACAAACTGTTAAATTGTCTCTCCCAGAATAAGGCTCTGTATATATTACTGCTATTCAAGTTTTATAACTGCTTGAGTTAATGGATAAATCAATTATCTAATTGTCGGCACAGATCCTTACAGGTTTCATCTGCCTGGATTTGTTTGCTCAAGTGATGCTAAACTCACTGGCATAAGGCGGCAGCCTCATCACCACAAAAATTGAAGAAGACAATTCAGAATACAGTGATTTGGTAATGTGAGGGTGCAAAAATACAGTTGGGCTGGTATTTCTCTATTTAAGTATTGATTGTTTTCATTTTCGAGCTATGCTGACAGACAGTGTCCAGAATCAGACCTGGCATGTTAATCATCACCAAAATACCACCAGGCTCACTGTAATTTTCCTCTCCAAATGCCAGTGACAAATGCTTAAAATCACACTGAATAACACATGCAGTGGGAACAGGCAAAAGATGCCATTTAGGTTCACAGAGCAGTACGTAGTCCATCTCACCAGTTAAATACCATAACCTGAGTGGAAAACAGGCAATAGAAGCTGTACAGCTCAGTACCTCTGACAGCCATCTTTGAAATGCTGCTTTCCCTGAGGATATCAGGAAAACTTATAGAGAGCAGCCAAATATAGGGTTGTTGATCCATTTTCTCCCACTAGCCTGCATGTGGATTAAATCTCAGAAGTACAGATTGAAAAACAAAACAGACTACAGGAATGTTTGAAATCCAGCACTCCTGAGAGAGCTGCCTGCCTACTTAATAATATTGTATCTCTTACAACATGCCAAGTTTTTAACTGTGCCTGCAAATATTTCAATGTCTTGGGTATGGTTTTAGTTCCCTAACAACACATGAAGATTTCTTGAAATAGATATTAACATCTGTGTTAAATAGTGGCATTGTGGGCCTAATAATCAGTTCAATTCAGAAGAGCTCAGTTCTGTTTCCAGAAAGGATTTTTTGTGATCTAGGTTTTATACAACTAGCTGATGAGCTAATGACTTGGAAACATCATTTTCTACAGTAGAGGAGAAAGAGAGAAGGCAAACCTAGCAGTAAGTACAGGCTATGTTTACACAACCTGCTGACCCATAAGGCGATGAAGGTGAGTAGCTGATGTCTTGTTTGCCCTCAGTCAAGCCCAAACCCTGACCAGGAAGGTCTCCCCGTCCACTCCATTTCCAGAAGTCAAACCCCAAAATGAGACCTGGACACTCCTATGTCTCAAAAGAAGCTGGAGACCAAAAGCAGGGACATTCCCCTGCTATTTCTGAGGGATAGCGTTGAGCGCCCCTTCACATCTCAGATGTGCTTGGCAGGAGGAGGGAGGAAGTGAAAGCAAGCCCCTGCCTGAGAAACAGCCTCTGTGAGTTGGAGATCCCTTATATCCTCTCCCGAACCACTCACCCTCTTTTACAGACATTTACAGGCCTGGGAAAGTAACCCGCGGCCTTGAGGCTTGTTGGAGATTTTAACATGCTCTAGTCAAAAGCTTTAGCTTCAACACAAAACAAGTTCAAATGCAAATCCATACTCTGACACAGGTTTTATAGAAAACATTAATGCAGGCATGCTTTTAAAACCTAACTAGCCCTTTAAAAGATTTGGATTGAAAAAATAGAAGCTTCTAAAACATTCTATTTGAAAGCAGGCATAATAATAAGAATAAGTTTTCTGCCAAACCGAGATCCTGTAAGCCTTCTCTTCCTTTCATCTACTCCTTATTACCTTGCTTGTTGTTCTATTAGACATATCACAGTCACACAGATGTGGCACTAATCACAGGGTAGGAGTTGCCAGCTGCCTGGGAGGATAAAGCTACTCTGACATTATCCCATCAGGCACCCAACAGTGGCTTAGGAGACACATCCACTTAGCTGACCCCTTTGTAAAGAAACAGGTGCCCTATGAGCATGCTGGGAAATCCTTTCTAATGCAGTCAGCTACCCCACAACGGTTCATGGCTTACAGTTAAAAAAAATAGCAACTTCCTTCATTCTGAACACTGAGGTTGGACAGAAAATGCAGCAGCTTTCAGGGGAAGCCTGGCTTGATGAAGGTAATTATGGTTTAGCAAGTTACCCTAGTGAAAAAATATTTCTGTGTTGAAAACTAGCAATGTTGGGTGGCATCATTTGCACTGTAAGTTTTGGACTTGATTTTAGTCGAAGATATGCCCTGGAAGCTGCTTCTGCCTCAAAGCTTGGGTACACGTAAAGCATCAAAATTCTTCCCTTTACAATGTTTCCAATTGTGGAGGAAGCCTGAGGGGTAAACTTTTGCCCAATTAAAAACCAACAAAAAACAAACAAAAGAAAGGCTTTGGTAAACTTTTGAGAAGAGACTGAGATTTGGGTATGCTGCGTAGTCAAAATTATCACAGCTTTCAAATGTTTTGTTGTTGCTGTTGCTGCTGTTGCTTTCCTGAACAACCCATCTGGCTGCTCTCGTACCTTCTTTTGCTTACAGAATACCAGTGGTACAAAGTTATTTTGCTATCCAAAGCATGAATCTTTGCACTACATTGACCTAGCAGGGAGAAAACGTAGTAAAGGTATCTAAGCAGTGACTGATATATGATATTTTTCTACAGAAAAGCACACGTGAGCAAAGGACATGAATCAAGGGACACTCAGCAGGACACAAATTCACTGAGGATGCTGTGGAATTCCACAAAGGAGGTGTTAGCCACACCATACAACATGTCCAGTGCCCATCCTAGAGCTATAAGCCCCCAGAGAGGTCTCAGGGAAGCTGCCCTGCCTCAGCCCCTCATCCCTTTTGAGTCATGGGCGTGACAGAGAACAGCAAGCCACACCAAAGCCAGGCATAAGAAACCTGTCTCCTGACCTCTGTGCCACATCAGAAAAAAAAGGTGACCTGCACCCTAGCCCCTGGTGTGGATGCTGAACGTGTTGCCATGCTAACAGGGATGCCATCAGCTCTGGCTGGGTACCACAGCAGCACACCAGCCCCACTGCCCTGCTCCCCACACTCCATGCTTGGCACAGGAAAACCGTCTCCTTCCTCCTCCACCCTTGTAAACCCATGCTCCTCCTCTCACCACCTGCTGTTTCCAGCCCAAGCTGGAGCAGAGCATAACTGCACCAGCTGCACCAGCTGCACCTGCAGAAGTGCCAGGATGACTGTAAATCTCTACCCTGCCCGAATAAGCACAGACTCTGTTCTTACTTGGGCAGCTCCCCACCCTTCCATCCGCCCTCCTCTCTTCCACAGTTTATCAGTGTGGAGGTGGATGTGGTCAGAAGCAATGTAAGACATGAGCAGGGAAGAGCTGCCATCAGGTGGTCATCCCCTGCCCAGGCTGGAGGGAGGTGGAGATACCATGACACCAGAGGTTCTCCATGTGTCAAAGCCATGTGCAAGCAAACTTTAGCAGACTGCTTCATGGGAAAGTTTGGAGCCAGGGATCTTCACCATCTTCAGGATTACATGGAAGCTGAGAAGGAATCAGAAAGATTACCTAACAGTTACATTTAGGAGCCAAAAGTAACACAAACATGCACACAGTCCTGTGGTAGAGTTATCACTGTGCACCAGTAGTAACTTCTAGAAATACAACCAAATGAGAATCCCACCACAACTAAACAAGCCTGTGTGCCACAGTGAATGCTGCATCACTTAACAAGGGTTGCAGCTTCAAATCCTAGCTCAGGACCTCTACTTGTGGTTTCCTGAATCTTGGTCTCTCACCCACAGACCACTGTAATGCCTCTGACAGTGCATGCATGAGTGACTCTCCCGGAGGCATGCAAGAAATTCAAAGAATGAAGTGTAAACTTTATCTTCCTCCTGTGATTCTCATTTCATGCGCTCAACTACACCACAAGCCTCCTTTGCACCCTTAAAGATTAACATAGCTATTCTCTTGATGTGGGATTCCTCATTATCATATGAATAAATGATTAATTGTCATTGCACAAAGCAAGTGCAACTTTTATAACTATATGAATCAGCACTGTGCCAAACCCTGCAAGAATAGTAAGAGTGTTCAAGTATTTATTGCACTTTATTGCTTCCTGGATCATTTAAAAGCAGTCACTGACAAACAACAATTTACACAGGTTTGAAAGTTTGCCTTGGATGTACTGAGCGGTTCTGTATTTCAAAATGCAGGCATATCTTCTTTCCCAGCAATTTAACATCAGGCCTTTGGCAGAGAACTCCACAGCTTGTCCAGCAAATGCTACTATTTGCAATGGCACATCTTGTGTATTACCAGAAGATAATTTTAATGAAACTTTGAGTGTAGTTTTAAGTACTGTTCTAACGATCATGCTGGCTTTGGTGATGTTCTCCATGGGTTGCAATGTGGAACTTAAGAAATTCTGGGGCCACATAAAAAGACCCTGGGGTATTTTTGTGGGTTTCCTTTGCCAGTTTGGGATTATGCCTCTCACAGGCTTCTTGCTGTCCCTGGCCTTTAACGTGCTTCCTATTCAAGCTGTTGTGGTGCTGATCATGGGATGCTGTCCAGGAGGCACAGCCTCCAATATCATCGCCTACTGGGTGGATGGAGACATGGACCTCAGGTAAGACCAGCTATTCCCTAATTAGTTCATCTGGCTTTTTACTCTACTTTATATTGAGAAAGACTCTCTGCTTTTTTTTCTTAGTTTCCTGGCCCATGCACAGAGAACCTTTTTTCTTGTAAAGATGTTTAGTTACTGTAATAGTAGTAAATATATACAGAATAGTAAATATCCTTGGTTCAGTGAGAACTCATGAAGAAAATACCACAACAGAACTGTGTACATTAGAAAATGCATTTATTGTAAATCTTCAGATTCTGTAGAAAATAGCATTTATGAAGACCACTAAGATACCAAGGGTTATGAAATCTTTGTCCAAGTTAGAACTAGTTTTGTGATTTTTTTGTTTCTCCCAACATCTTAGGCATAAAAAAGAAAGAAATATGTGCAACAAAGGATTTTAGGATCTGAATCCTCTGTACTAAATAGTGGCTGTGCAATAGTTCTTGAAGTAATGTTTCTTAAGACCACCTGTGGACAGATATTTTCCCTCCTTTTGTGGGAAAAGACGAATAGACAGGCATGGATTATCTCTTTGAGAACTAATACAAATGAAAATCACTTGCAGTCATTCTATTTGCTCCTGGCACTTTCTGCAAAGTCCTCAAACTGAAGGTAAGTTTTACAAGCTAGAAGGCACTGTCTAAGGCAGCCCTGCATATGGGGGCAATGAAAAAAAACCTTTGTGACAAAGTGTGGTGGTCTCAATGACAGGGTGCTCTGAACTCAGAAACAGATATGTAAGGCACCTGGCATGGCCTAGGACATCAAATACACAGGAGAAGTGAACCCTACTCTTGATACAAATTCCATGGGGGGTTCATTAACTCTAACAGCCTTTAAAAATGAGCCGTCTTTTGATATTTATATCCTGATTACTTTTTTGTAAAAAAAAAAAAAAAAAATCAAAACCAAAAAATAAACCCAAAACTAAACAGGATCATTTCTGTTTCCCACAGAGAAACATAAATTGTAGCATTCCTCCAATTTATCATATTCCAGTCTGAACTAGAAATGGAAAAATAATAGAAGTAAGAAAGATGTGGAGCTAGGGCAAATAGACGAAGAATGTTAATATTTGTGGCTTTAATAAGACATTTTTTCCATCCTTTGAAAATAGTGAGCTTTTCTGTCATATGCAGGTGTTAATGTAATACCAGCTTTCGAACTATGCATGAGGTCAGCTCTGCTAATCACCAACTTCCTCACTGTGGAGAAAAGACCTATGACATTAGGGAGGTGTAAGACACCTAATTTCAATAAATACAGGTCTAAGAAACCACAGATGGAAAGATATCCAGCACAAGTCTGAAATCCTGTCCTAGTCTTTCCTTAGAAGAACGTACTGAGCTAAACTATGCTTTCCCAGCTCTGTGTGTTCAAAGTCACACTACTGAAACCAATGGTAAAAGTGAGAACCAATGAGAAACATAAATATGAGTAGGGTTTATATCCCAGGATGCTGGCAGAGGGTGAAGTAAATTGAAAATACCTATAAAAGGTTGTTCTTCAGGTAAAGACATTTACCTTAAGAAATCAAAGGCTTTTGGTCAGTACCTTTGAGACAATAACTCAGGGACCAGAGAATATGTGACCTACAGCAGAAACAGCAATGCAAGTGTCTTCAGTTCTTGATAAAAAAATAATAATGTAAGCAGCTTGGCTGGTTTCTAGAGCCAGCACATTATGATAGAAAACCCACCTGTCAGAGCAGACAAGGTTTTGGTTTTAGCTGATGATATTTTATGTTTATACGTAGCAATCCATGAGAATTGTCTACAGTCCTGCTTCAAAACTTCCCAAAGCAAACAGACCACAAGTCAGAGCAGGAATTTGTTTTCTACTGCTCATATAATCACAGGGAGATGAAGGATGAATTTTTATATGTTTTTTCAGTAACTCAGACCCAGCTTCACATAGGGAAATCTGGTTTTGACATCTCTTGATATTTCACAAAAACAACTGATTCTGAAGCACCGTCTCCTCCACAGCAACCCTAGGAGTGTCTGTGAGAACAGAGACTGGGGTTAGGGAATGTGCAAACTTTGGAGCAGGGTACAGGGACGGTACGAAGATGTAGGAAATGTGGAGGTAGGAAAAATAATCTCTTTTATCCATTTTATCCAATCCCCTGGGAGCTTCTGTGAGAACAGGGACTAGAGTCAGACAATGTGCAGACTGGAACAGGATGTATATACAAAGACAATATGAAAATGTAGGAAATCTGGAGGTAGGAAATAATAAGCTCCTTTATCTATTTTATCTTAATTGTAGCCAACATTTCTTTTTTTTCTCTGTGTGTACAAACTTTCTAGCCTGAGGCTCCTACAAAGTTCTGTGCAATGACTGTGAAGCAGAGAGTTAAAGGGTCAAAAATGAATGCCGATATTCCTGTTGTTTCTGTCTTAATTCTTCTAGATTTCTCTGCACCTGCCCAGTTTGTGGACAGGGTCAGTAGACCCTTTTCTGAGGACCAGCAACATAAAAGAAAAATCAGAAGTGAGACTCAAAAGGAAGTTCCCAAAGTCCCTCAATCAGAGCCCTCTCTCATTGTTTTTATGTCAGAGGAGTGTGATTTGTAGACGTAATTTTATCTATTCTGCTCAGATTCTGAGAATTTCCACATTATTTTAGCTATCTTCCCTTTTCCTCCTTCTTCATTCCTGTCTCAGAATGCATCTGCCAGTACAAGGTGTTTCAGGCCTGATGGTTTCAAGATTTTATATTTTAAAACAGAAATGTTTTTGCACAAACAAAGGAAGCAGCAATACTTACGCTAGGCTTCACTAGGTAGCTCTTGTCACCTACTCTTTGGCCTAGAGCAAAACAAGCCAGAAAAGGGAATTTTATTGCAACACACAACCTAGACAGTATTTTTTTATTTTCTTTTATTTTTTATGTTGTTGACTTTGGAGTGAAATTTTAACACTCCAGAAATCCTGGTATAATGGAAAACTCCATTCAATGCCGATCTGATCCTGTCCAGCTTGCCACCCTCTCAGAAGCTAGTTGGACAGGCAGCATGCAGACAGACTGGCTAACAGACCTTCCTGATGGATGCCTGTCTGACTGCCTCATTTACACTGCAAGTTATTGTCCTGTGGCTGCAGAACACGTTGATATTTTATGTTCCTCTGTTTTCAGCAGAAGCCATTCCTTCCAGTTAGCCTTTTTCTAACCTCAAATACATGATAAATAGACTGTAGTCAGCAGCATTTCCTGCCCAACATTTCATAAGCTGTGAAGTCATAATAAGAAAATTAGGAAGACTATAGACTAGCATGAGATAAACTGTCCATCCACCCAATTTCTTTGCAGCATCAGCATGACAACTTGCTCCACACTACTTGCAATGGGAATGATGCCACTTTGCCTCTTTATTTACACCAAGATGTGGACTGATGCAAACGCAATTGTACTCCCCTACAACAGCATTGGTGAGTCCAGTGAAGCAGCACTTCCCCTTCTCCTTTATGCCATCCTTATGAGGAGTTATGAAGAAATTACCCCAGATTTGAAAAATATTTATCCTCCTACTTTCTAATAGCTTCCATGGGAATTAGGTACCTCAATCACTTCACGTCATCCACCGCTCTGCAGAACAAAGACTTGAAGTCATTATAAATATTATACAGATATTTATCACAAGATTGTGCATGTTTTTCTTTCCAAATGGTTTGGAGACCTGCAAGGGACTGGGTTAAGAATATAGAATCATTTGTACGTGAATAGCTACTTCCCCTGGATGAAAGTGTTTGTAACAGCTTTAAATCACAATACTGCAAAGTGCAAGTGCTGAGGCCATAATCTGGCAAAGTACTTAAGCACATGTGGATAATTAAGCAAGTGATTAAAACTGCTGAGTCTCTTTGAAAAGCTGCAATCTACACCGCCAGAAGTGGCTTCATTTGACATCCTGTCGAAAATCTCATCCAGCTACAAAGAAAAAATAGTCAGAGTTTGGAAATACATGCTCCAGTGCTTTGCAGAGCTGTGGCCCTAGTGCTTATCAAGTGTGGTTCCATGTTGTGCTGATCTTAAAAACCAGCAGAATCACTTTTATATTCTTCAATTTCATTTCCTATTGTTCTGGGGGAGAAAAAATATCACATACATTGCTCGTGCTTTCAAAATAAATACTGGAGGGGGGAGGACAAGACAAAAGAAGCTCTAAACCATTTGTTGATATGGTACAGTAGCAAAACACCTGCAGACAAAATGAACATTTAATATAGGTACTCATATCACAGGATAGTGATGATTAGCCCACTCAAATTTCTGTCTGCCTTTCTGATGCAGGTGAATGAGCATGTAGCTCAGCAGAATGGCAATTACGGCAACAGGCTGCCAAAGGTAACAGACTCCATAGAAAAGCAAATAGACAGGTGTGGGTAGAGCATGGATGCATGCTCTGGGGTGCACATACCAAAAACAGCCTTTGAAGGCTTGCTCTGCACCCCCAGACATGCTGCATGGTGTCAGTCTTCCTGACATGAACTTCTGCACGATACTTGGGCTTAACTTCTCTCTTCTTTTTTTAAAGGAATTTCACTGGTAGCTCTTGTAGTTCCTGTTTCATTTGGAATATATGTTAACCACAAATGGCCTAGAAAAGCAAAAATCATACTTAAGGTAAGATATATATAAGGCTGAAGCATTAGATTTATGGACAAATTATGGAATCAGCAGCAGTACATTGCTATTCATAACATTAGTGTCTGACTTTATAAGAGTAGGGAAGTTTTCAGCAGGAAACAAATGAGATGCTTCAGAAATGTGCTGCTTTTCCCTGCACAAATATGCATGAGTTGCATACATTATTTAGAAACCATGATTATCCAAAGAGCCTACTTTTATCTTTGGCTGCAACTGTGATAATAATTGAGTTCAGTTCATAATGTAAACTGAAATTGAAGGAAAATCATTCAGGTCAACTAGAAACGGTTTTTACTCTGCAAGGTAATAAAAAATAAAAATATTCTGGGTTAAAGAAACCTGCAACTTTCTATTTTTAAAACAGTTCATTGATTTATGTGGGCAATTCTGAGTGTGAAGTCAATTTTCATTTAAAAAAATTTTCAAAATATTCTGACTGCTAAAAATCTAAGAAAACTGTTCAGAAAATTCAAGTATATTTGCAAGATAGTTTCAGATGCATCAAAAAATGATTTTATTTAAAAACAATTGTCCTCAAAAATAATAATAATGATAATAAATTGGATGTAATCATATAATAATATAAGATTATGGAAAAATATTATATTTTATGTTATTATATAAATTATTTACTGTTATTTTTATTGAATATTATTATTATTAAAATAGCTGTTTAGTGTTTACAGCTAATTTTAGTGTTAACAGCCAATTAATCATTCTTATCAGTAGGTTTAGGCTGAAAATGACTGCCATATTCTGAGTACCCTTGGTATTTGTTTACCATTCTTACTTAACACATATATTTTCTAAATTTTCTTGAAGAAAACTACACTGACAACTTGTTATTCTACCTATGTTTTGTTATCATGTCTCTTCTGTTAGTTCAGGAAACACAGAACACAAACAAGATTCTTTTAAATCAATTAATTTTCTCAGACTCTTAGTTTTTTCTTTTCTATTTTTAAATGCACTCACAGTACTTATGAACTTGGATACTATTGAGTGCTGGTTTCAAAACTGTACTGTTCCTGTTTAATCAGTTAAGGGAAAATCATGGACTTAAACTCACATGAAAAGAAACTCTACTTGCTCTCTCAGCAAAACACTGTTTTGTCCTCTTTCTTACCAAGTGGGTGAGCAACCTACAGCAGGGTCCATTTTGACAATTTGCTTTATGCAGGACAATGAAGCATCAAGTGCAATTGAGCTATAGCTGTCAGATTAAGGTCTGTATAGTGGGAAATGGAGATAAGAGCACAAGGACAGTGTGCCAGGTGAAAAAAAAGAGCTTGTCAGGCCAGACCATGTTTCTTCTTCCTAAGTGCATGTGGTTAATAGCTCAGTCAAACAAAAGTATTTGTTTGCTCAGTGCTCTTAAAGAGGCTTCAGCCAAAGTCTGATAAAGCCAGTTTAATGGAAATACATATTTAGCTGAGAAATGGATTACCCTAAGATTAGCCCCAGAAGTCTGCCAGTAAGATCCCTGGCAACATATGCCATAAGGGCAGACATTTCTCTTGGATATTAAGAAGAGGCTTAGTTACCACATTTTTGGCAATTGATCAGTGGTGAAGATCTCGGCATATTCAGCCACAGGAAATAAAATCAACTCAGTGACTACATCTATGTAGAAATGCTATACAAACCCACAGTTTTCAAACACAAATTTTCAGCCATGTTAAATATTTACCCCTCCACCTGGAAAATAATTTGCTATCACTAACAGTCTAGGATATAGTTAGCATACGTTATAATAAGCCCTAGAGTGCAACTGCCGACGAAGCGGGGAGGAAAAGTGCATTCTATCAGCTATGAGGTTGCCAGCTTCCCAACAACTCTGGAGAAATTTTTCTAATGTGTGCACCACTCCTTGCTCACATCACACCTATGAAATTAATTTTAATCTCTAGTTCTAAGTACAATTATTACCAAGGCTTCAAGAGACTAGTTTTACAGGTATTTGCTATAGATATCTATTATAGCTGTGCCTCGATCTTTATCCGTAGTAACACATTGAAGCACATCGTACATCTCCTCTCTGGGAAAAACAGCAGCTATCTAATCTGTCTACCTACTGTGAATTATGTTGCTGTAAACTTCAGGGTTTTATGTTTAATAAGAAGTTTCAGTCACTCAGAGACACTCACAGGCATGTTTGACACCATGTTTGATGCCACTGGATTTTGTTGGAGTCTCTTACTCACACAGTCCTTCCTCTTTTCCCTGACAGGTCGGTTCCATTGTGGGAGCAATCCTCATTGTGCTCATTGCTGTGGTTGGGGGAATACTCTATAGAGGCTCCTGGATTATCTCACCCAAATTATGGATCATTGGAACCATATTTCCAGCAGCTGGCTATTGTCTGGGATTCTTTCTGGCCCGCTTAGCTGGTCTGTCTTGGAACAGGTATGGAATTCTCCACGAAAAAGACCTGTAGCCTTTTTCAACTGTGAAAAAAAGTTTTTCTGTAATGATTAATAAATGCTGAGAATCTTCCCTAAACATTAGCTATGCTCAGGGTCACTCATTCCCCAAACCTGTTTCTAGGATAAAACTTTACTTGTGCACATTTTTATACACAGATTCTGACTATACTATTTCCTCCAGATGTTCATACATCTTCCCCTGCTGTGCCCATGTACTCCACTTCAAATTAATGAAACAGACTTGACTTATAAGTGGGTTGGGAATGCAGTAAAATTTCTCATGAAGATGCAGCAGCTTGGAGTCTAGAACATCATTAAAAGAGAGGGAGGTAGTGCCACACATGTGGCTTGAAGGTGGATCACGGTCCCTTACAATTGCTGAACTGGCATAAATTGTTGTGTTCTGGTGGTAAGAGCCATATGACTTGAGGAGAGTTTTGCTGACTACATGAGCTGAAAGATACAATTTTCCTAGTTATCCATTACTGTATGTTTCTTGCTTATCTAGATTATTGCAAAGCATAAGGCTGCTATTTCACAACTGTCTTTGTATTATTCTCTTTAGATGTCGTACAGTGTCTCTGGAAACAGGCATGCAAAACACTCAGCTATGTTCAACTATAGTACAGCTCTCATTCACTCCTGCACAACTTGAACTGATGTTTACTTTCCCACTCATCTACAGCATTTTCCAGCTGTTGCTTGCACTACTAATTTTAGGAGGTAAAGTATATCTATTTTCTATGACAGAGTTGTAATTATGATTATTATCAGTCCCATTTTTCATGAATATGGAGAAAACAAGAAGGGATAAAAATAATCAAATGGAAAATAGTTAAGTACATAATGATTATTAAGCACTACCACTGTGGTGTTGCCAGTACATAAGTAGGAATATACAAGGCTCAGTTCAAAATTTGGAAGACCCTTTTTTTACAGCACAAGGGAGGGCATCTCCACCACCTACAACTAGGCACATGAGACTGCACTGAGCACAGAATTGTTACTATCTTTAGCAAAGGAAGGCCAAACGCATCTTCTTCCACTGTTCAGGGTGCCTGAGTGCTCAGCTGCTCAGCAGGGCCATACCCACAAACTCCCCTCCTACCAGACGCTGAGGTAATAGGCATTAGTTTCACAACTAATGTGAGAAAATATCTTCCCTTAGAGGTAAAGGTCCCTTTTCCCTCCCACATACACCTCCCATGTGTTGCACTTGTGCTACTACAACTAACCTACCAAAGGTTGGGACCTTGTCCCTGTTGCTCACACCTGAAACAAGCTGTTGATTATTGAGCTCCCACTCCCAAACCAGCCATCTTACCCAACACCAGAGCACTGTCCCAATGACACAGCCTGTGGTGTGCAGCCCCAACTCCAACCTCTCTGTCAGGCAATGGTGTGGGGACAGACAAACTTTGTCCCAGGTCCTGTCAAACAGAACTCACATGGAAGTAAAAGTCAGTCCCATAGACCCAGCCAAGAACCCAAAGACTTCCCAAGTGAGACAGGTAATGTTTTAAAAAGTCACTGCACACAACAGGAGCACAAAGCGGTCAAACACCAAACACGGATTTAAAATGTTTTCCTTGTTATTTTCTAAAAGTACTTTTCCACCAATGAGTGCTGTTGACATAAAACAGTTAAACATAGCTTTAAAGAAACTGTTTGCTTTAGCAATGTAAGGAAGGAAAATGTTGCATGGGTACACGTTACTACAAGTGTCCTTTCAGGCAATTTTTTGTAATTTCTTTATTTAATATGAAATATATACCAATCTCCAGGCTACCGTATTTACAGAAGACATCGGGTCAAAACAAAGACAGATATCGAGAAAACAGAGCAAAAAGAGGCTTCAAAATCAACATCATCACATGCTAACGTAAATGGAGGATTTGTACCAAATGAAGACAAATAGACAATTATCTCTGTTCTCACCAGCTAAAAGATATATGGTTTACTTAAAACTATTTTTTCACATGCCGCTGCTTTATGGAAATATTTAACAAAAAGAAGTTCTGTTGATATTGTACAGTAAGATTTTAAAATTATTAACTTATGAAAGATTTCTACTTTGATTTTTAACATGGTTTCTGCCACGATTGTTGAATCTGGCTTTGAACCTAATTCCCTATAAAAGATATTTAATGTTTTTTTTATGGCTTATTTAAAGAAAGGCAGAATAAAGGTGGGCTATTGCTAAAAAAACAAGCAGATATTTGCATTACCAACGCCAGCCATGATCCTGCAAATCCATCTGCTAGTGTTAGCTCACACAACAAAGAGAACACTTTTAAAAGTGCCCTAAGCAGCAACAGGATTTGATGTGGAAGATCTGATAAGGCTGGAGGACTTTCACTGGACATGAATCAACCATGAAATTGGAACAAGCTAATAATGAAATAAAGTTTCATGTAGGTCAGCCTGGGCAGACTAAAGTCATTACACTGTACTAATTGGTTGAAGCATTAATTTGCACTAAAGCTATGATTTTAACAAGTGCAAGGTACCTTAGAACTATTTTTCTCCCCTAAAGTAATAGAAAGTAACAGCTTTGAATCTTCAGTCTTCTAGGTGCTGGAAACATGAACAGAGAGAAAGCTGAGGGCATAAGCCTAGAGCAATTTTAGTGTGACAGCTGCATACAGACAAGCAGGCTGAGATTTTGGAAGTGTAAGAAATTATCAACTTCTGCACTGAAAGGGAGGCATTTGAAAGCAGAACAAAATTGTCCCTGATTTGCCCAGGGGTTTCACCACTGTTAACAGAAGACAATAATGTTTGTAGAGAGTTAGTTATATATTTTTGTTATTCCATGAACTCAATAAATTTGAATTACCAGGTGTCTGCAACATGTAGACACTGGTGTAGTTGATAATTTTAAGATTTTAACTATATGAACCACAGACAGAAATAATTGGATGTACACATACATTATTTGTCTTTGAAAATTCAAGAGTACATATGGAAAGCTGTCTTAAGTGTGTGGAGAAAATGAGTTATAATTCTAGGAGAAAAGTACAAAACAGTACAAAAACTAAACTTTTTGTGGCTGTAATTTTTTTATGGATACACTCAGTAACATTAGTCCTGTACGTTTTATGCAAAGAAAACATCCAGAGAACTTCAGATGAATGGGTGAGAGGTTGGCTGACCGAAAACTTCAAGAATGAGCCAACTATCAACACATGGAAACTATACACTTTGTCATATTCAGGTGGACCTTCTGAGGTGTTGTGAATTAATGTGGCAGGTTTTTTACAAACACAACTGAAATGGTGGAATTTAAGTTCCCTACATGTAGCTTTCTACTGCTGCAGAAATGTGCCCAGTATTAAACAAAGCATAAATTATTACTACCTACCATATGTGGGGGAAAGAGTCTCAAAATGTTCCTGAGTTCTGGGAGGCTTGAAGCTGCTTCACTTTTGGGGGAGTTGAGAGTGGTCATAACCTCCAAGGAAAAGTTTAACACTTGGTGGGAGGTAGCACATAATGAGGCATGCTGTATTTTATAGAACAAAGATTAAACAGGAAAATATAGTGAAGTCTGTTATGGAATAATCATAAATGTGCAACAGCACACTCATGGAGAAAAGGATAAGTTGCTAACATCTGTAGTAAAAAAGCTATTGTCTTTATCCTGCATCCATCAAAGAAAACGGGCAGCAAAAGTTAGTTCGGATCATGTCTTTCTTACACACCATGCTGCTACTCTTTCTCCATGCTAAACTTCAATGCTTCCATGCATATTTTTAAAGCATTTTGAAAATGTATTGAAGAATAATAGTTTGTCTTGCTCATACTCTGTGTGTGTGTATTTAAAGCAACTGTATAAACACTGAACTGAATAAAGTCAGAAGCTATTTATAATTTTGCCCACTGGAGTAATTTAAGGTGGAAAGAATTGAGACTGAAACCTAACATGCAGACAAAGTTTATGGCTTTGAGATGTAACAAAAACACCTCAGATTTTGTGTAAAATGAATATGTTTAATAATCAATCATTGAATCGTAGTATGGTTTGAGTCAGAATGGACCTTTAAAGGTCACCCAGTCCAACACCCCTACAACTGACATTTTTAACTACACCAGGTTGCTCAGGGCCTCTTCCACCCTGGCCTTGAATGTTTCCAGAGATGGGGCACCTACCACCTCTCTCAGCAACCTGATGAAAACTAAAAGGAACATGGGATGTCTGTCTGATGCCATATTTGGTACACATTTTTTAATGAATATGTGCACTTAGAACTCCAGGTGAGGGACTGAGGCTGCAGCTGCTACAGCCATTACAATTACATCTAACAAGGGTCGTATGTCCCAAGCTTTATGTGAAGCAAAGCCATCTTAAAGGTCTTAACCAACATATGTCCAGAGCACGTCAAACCTAAAACAGAAAAACACAGCTTGATGTTGCCAAACACAGACTTATGTTGACATGGAAGCTGTTAAATCTCCAGCTGCTAAATCTCCAGCTGTTAAATCTCCAGCTCAATGTCCATCCATCACTGGTGAAGCTGGAGTGAGTGGGTTATCTCACTGCAGCATAAGGGACTTCTGAAGAACCTGTGTCCTCTCCTCAGGGGCCTCCAAAAAGATGTTCTATTTCTTTAGCTGTTAGCCATACCAATCCTGACATATGGGCTTTTCAGCTGAGGGAGGCTGGTAGCCTCCAGCCTTGCAGTTGCAGTTGTCTTGCAATTATCAAACAAAAATCCCCAACTTGCCAAGGTCAGCTTGTTTAATCTGCTCAATGTCATCTCCTGTCATGTCCTCCAGAATGAATATCTTCTGAAAAAAAGGCAGTATCACCTAGTCACCCCTGCTGTTTAAGTAATCATCCATCCATTGAAACAGTCTGTGGATGGGACATTGCAGGACATGCAATTTAAAAGCATCATGTTCCGGTGAACAGATATCAAATGTAATTAACTCTTACACAAACTGGTAAACATGGATTCACCATGCGACCTAAGAAATTATACAGATTCCTTAGCTGGTTCTAGGTTAATGTATCTAGTTTACTTTTGGACAATAATTCATGTCCAGAGAGCCTGGGTAGTCCCTGAGTCTTAATTCTGCTGCACTCCCGATTCTCAAGCCATTGCAGGCAAAATGAGCTGATGTCTAAGGATAGACATACCCTAAAATTTTAAACAACAGCTGTTAACTCCTAACTTTCCCCAGGTTCTGTAGGGTAAGAGCTGCACTGATGCGACAATCATACTTGCCAAACCTAAGTCTGTAGCTATAAATCCGGGTATAAAGACATGTTCCTTAGTCAGCAAAGAGAAAGAGATGTACCCCCATGGAGTTAATCATGTTCACTGTCTCAGACTCCTGTTACAGGATGAGTTGCCCTCTGGAATTTTCTGTCTCTATAAGTAGATTTATGTGGACTCATTTACACCAAATATTTCACTTTTTTGCTCTCAGAGAGAAAAAAAAATAAAAAATAAATACCTCTTTTTGTCTTAATTTATTTTTCTGCATAAAGTCTCTGAACACCCAGTATGTTTCCTTTGACCAGGATGATAGGTTTTTATAACTTAGATGAAGAAAACCAAACAAAAAAAGTTCTGCATTATGATTCTAATCTCTTATGAAAATATAACTAACTTCTCAGCTGGCCAAAAGACACATAGAAGAACTGGTTCTGTCATATAGTGTGCTGTGTTGGTTAGAAAAGAGTGCAATTTGAATAGAATTAACAAGCAAATTGATTTCCAGTTTATGTTTAATGAGTTTCTTGTTTCAAACTAATTAGGTTATGATGCTCAAAAACCACTCTGCCAATCAGTATTATTTTTGTCAGCCTCAGAAAGGAAAAGTGAACTTACTGTTTTGTACTCCAACCAATTAACATACTGCATGCTTGATGCAAATCTAAAACAATAATCAGTATTCCCTATCTCCCAAGGCACAGGCCTCCGCTGTTTGGTATCTAACAAGAATGCTCCTTCTTTCCGCATATTAATTGTATTGCTTGCCCATGTCCAGAATGAAAGCAAATATAGCATAATAGTACCACGAGGAAATAACAACCCAGCAAACCTGGCTGGATTTTCCTACCCATGTCCAAAGGAAAGTAAAAATAAATCTCTGCTTCTGTTTCCTAAAGAATATGCATTCTGCTCCAGAAGCACTAACATCGCAGTTAAACTGAGCACTAAATTAACTTAAAATATCAAATGTAAAAATAACTGTTACTTGCCAGAGTATTTGTCAGTCTTCAAACTGGAATTGCAGAAGATGGATAATTGAAAACCTTGAAGGAGTACTAATATGTTTTCATGAATAGATATCTGCTGTGGAATGATATTACTTTCTCCATTTAATTTCCATTAAATTTAGTGATCTACAAATAAGTTTTCAGCATCGACCTTCATCCTTACCTAAAAACAGGCAGTCAGCACTGCCAGTAGAGAAAGACAGATGCCTCTGGAGAGCAAGGCATCACACCCCTCAAACACCTGGTTTAGGGTGGGAGGAATTCTGAAAGGAGACAAAGAGATTATGCACAATTCAGTGTGAAATTTGGTTGCCTGAACTTAAGCATCTCGTGTGATATGATATGGCATGAGGTGTCCTGCCTGGTTTTCCACTACCAGTCTAGGAAGTCACAGGTATTCTGTAGGTCCTGGCTATACCTACCATAGCCCTACAGCATCTAAAATGTCACCAGACCATTTTTTAGGCAGCCTAATCCTCCCTGCAACTTCTGTGCAAGTCATCCTTATTTGTGGGATTTGCCCTGATTTATACAAATTCCTCTGCAGTCAGATGAAGGGCTAGCACTCTGCATGAGATACTTGCAAGTCCATAGGACATTGTAAAATATCTCAGAATTTAGAAAAATAAATTAAATAACAGAAAAGCAGCCCTTCCAGCTGCCTCTTTGAACTAACCAAAAGTATGCCTCCTTAATAAATTTCTCCCGGCCCTGCATCTCTACCCAGAATTATATGGGACTTTGAAAGGGCTTGGAACAATATTTAGTGAGGACATTCCAAACAATGTCTATGTAAACAAAGAACACATAAAAATGTATTAATGATATCTCTGCTTGCTCATAATGGACTTAATGAATCAATCAATTGCCAGTAAGACTTGAAAGACCATAAATCAGCCTCCTCCCTCAGATAAGGTTTTAAGAAAAGATGAGACTTTAAAAATAACAACCTGAAATGAAGATTTTCATCTTTTGGACTTTAATTATTTAGGGATTCAGCCATAAGGACTGGACTTTTGACTTTCTAATAACACATCAGTTGATAAATCTTTTGCAATCATTGCATTTACTTAAAAAAAACAAAAACAAAAAAAAACAGAGAAAAGGAAAGAAATCTCAGCGCTGAAGAAAACTCTTATTTACTGCAACAGGGAGTTGATCAGGTCTTTAAGTGGTATATCCCCTGGTTACTACACAGTTTAGATATTGTTATGAAAAGGAATAATTTTTGTTCCAGACAAAGAGAAGCTAGTTGGTTTTCCTTAGAGCACACAAAGCTCACAGTTTCTCATTCACTGCAATTGTTCCTGACCATGAGAAGTATTAGCAAT